AAAAAAAAAAATCTGTCCACACAACGCTTGCACATGAATGTTCATAACAGCATAATTCATAATAGCTTAAAAAACAGAAGTGACACAAATGGCCATAAATTGATGACAAGATTAATAAACATGGTATTCAGTGGAAGGTAATTCGGAATATACAAACCCACGGAGACAGAAAATAGACTAGTCATTACCAGGAATTGGGGAAAGGGGAAGATCAGGAGTAACTGCTTAGAGGTGTAGGATTTCTTTTAGGAATGATGCAAATATTCTGGACTTATTTATGAAAGTTGCACAGTTCTATAACTATATTAAAAGTCACTGGATTGTACATTTCAAATGCTTAATTTTTATGCTATGTGAATTATATCTCAACTTAGGTAACATATTTTAAGAAAGAAAAGTAAAACAAAAAGTACAACTTTTTATTTAGCATTAAAGCAAAGGAAGACTCTCTTCCTCTTTAGAAAATAAAATCTGTAATAACTTCAACTACCAGTTTCACTGAAAGCATACTTCACATTAATTTTGCTATTTTCATCTGGGAAGTGAAATTGTATTTCTTATTTTTATAAATCAAAGACAATGGAATCAGTTTTCCTCTAGATGAACTCTTCTTCCTCCTCCAATTTGGACTTATCTGGTACCAAGACCACACTTGAGGCTACAAGCTTTCTAAACCAACAAAATCTTATTCTGAGTTATGACATTTTTTCAAAAGCCAAGAGTCTCCTATAAACAATGTTATTTGATGTCAGAAATGTCAGTGAACAATATGACAGTCCCATCCAGCAAGCTTTGAACACCCATCTAAACTGTTAACACATATATTCACACACACAAGGTTTTAAATTAAAATAGTAATAAACTAAGTGAATTATAAAAGACCTCAAAATTAAAAGATAGTGAGTTGACTGACTGAAAGGCAAAGAGACAAAGACAGGAAGAGAGCAAGTTTACCCATCTTCATATATTTTACTTATGGAAAGTGGACTTATTATTAATTTTGAAAATGCTAAATCAAGTATTTCAGTTCTTTTTTAAAATAAGATATACATGAATAGAGTTCATTTCATTCATAGGATGAGGGAGTGGAGACAAGACCTAGTGGCCTCACTTACCCCTTCCAGAGCAGGGCAGATTCGAGCTTCCCTGACACTTCTTGATGCTCTCCACGAGTGACAGTGGGCAGGAACGTGGGTGTTCGCATTTTTTCCCATACCAACCCACTTTGCAGTCACATCTTCCACAATTACACTGTCCGTGACCTTCATAAGAAGAGCAGTAAAAATATATATATAAAGATAATGATAATGAAGTCAGAGTTTGTTTTCATCATAACAGTGAATGTCACAAATGAGTAGGTTCTTAATTAACACAATATGAAGCACTAAGGAAAAATTACATTTTTTCTCACATTCCTAAAGACAGGCAGTCCTTAGGGTATGAACACAGTCTGTGTTCCTATGTGTTTAATAATTTTTAGGTAAGTCAGAACAGGTTCTTATTTGGTCTTACATTAGTGCAAGAAAAGGCAAGAAGCTTTTCAATGATAAAGCTGTATTTGCAGCAAATGAAGATGATTGTGATGAATAATTTATTGGTTTCAAAGCGAGGATAAATTTATATAACATTAAAGGGTAAGTAGGAGCTGTCCTTAAGTCAGGGGTTCATAAGCCAGGTGGTGGCTATGTGCCGTGGTGTTGGTTCCGACTCATAGTGACCCTGTACATGGTTTCCGAGGCTGTAAAACTTTACAGCAGAATGCCTCATCTTTCTCCCGTGGAACAGTCGGTAGTTTCAAACTGCTGACCTTGAGGTTTGCAGCCCAATTCGTAACTACTATACTACTAGACCTCCTTTCATAAGCCAGGGACTGCCTGCAAATGATTTCTATTGATTGATCATAAGGGTTAAAGAAAACCAAGTCCAGATAAAATATAATAAAAATTAGTAGAACTTGAATCCATCAAAATCCAGATGCATATAACTTTATTGGTCTTCTGGGGCTGAAAAAGATACTTGGCATTTGCTGGATTTGACAATTAATTCATGTTGAAGGAAGCCACAGGAAATAGAAAACAACTTGTTTTGGAAAAGAGATCCGTATCTTCTGAAATTTCACACATTTTATTTTCACTGACTTTTCATTACACATCATATACTCAACCTAAGGATTCTTAGCTTAAAATCTGTCATCTTTGTTTCATGCACAATCCTTGAAGGCCAATTTAATATACACAAAAGAATTCATGAAAATATTACATATCTTTAAACATGGACACAGAACCCATAAAGCATTGTGATGAGTCATGGTATGACACAGAAAAAACACATCTAGGTTTTCAATAAAACGAATAGTCTTACACTCTGCCTCTGCTACTTCCAGAGTTAGTCTGATCAAATGACCAGCTTTTCCAAGGTTTTCCTCATTTTTAAACAGGACAATAATAGGTGACCTTTCCATATTTATACTAAGGTACACATTAAGTATTCAAGTAGGACTATAAAGGAAAGCATGATAATTTCATCTGTGCTTTTCTTAACTAGCAATAATCATTTGGACTTTCAAATATGAGAATGTTGTTGTTAGGTGTTGTCCAGGCTGTTCTGACACATACAGACTGTATGCACAATAGAAGAAAGCACTATTTGGTTCTGTACTATCCTCAAAATTGTTACATTTGAGCCCTTTGTCAGTGCATCTGTCATTGTGTCAATCTCTCTCACTAGGGCTCTTCCTCTTTTTTGCTGTCCTTCCATTTTACCAAGCTTGATGTCCCTCTATGGACTTGTCCCTCCTAATAACATGTTCAAAGTATGAGAAATGAAATCTCACTACCTTAGCTTCTAAGTAGTATGCTGGCTGCACCCAAGACAGATTAGTTTATTCTGGCAGTCCATGGTACATTTAAAACAAAACAAAACAAACAAAAACTTCTGTAAATTGAGAAATACTTTAAGGGCAGAACATCAGTTTTACACTCAACCAATCTTAGTTTGTTTCATTGCAATGATTACAATCCCCTCCATGCACCATTGGTTACAGTGATTTGCCTCTATTCCCTCTCTCTTTTTTTTTTTTTACAGTACAGAAAATACACAGAAAAAATATATTTGTTTAAATGAACAAAGGGAACATTTTGCAAGCCAGCCTCCTTCCTGCCTGTACACAGCCTTTCTCTTTCCAAGTCCATGGTACTTTTAGTGTTATCGAACATCATAACGCAGACACATCAATTCTCTTAAGGTCTTCTTTAGTCACTGCCCAACTTTCACATGCAAATGAGAAAATTGAAAATACTGTGGCCTAAGTCAGGTGGACCTTAGTCCTAAAACTGATTTGCTCTTGAACACTTTAAAGAGGTCTTGGAGAGTTGATTTGCCTTATTCAATATGTTGTTTGATTTCTTGACAGCTGCTTCCATGAGCTTTGATTGTGAATTCAAGCAAAATCAAGTTTTAGATAACTTCAGTCTTGTCTCCATTTATCATGATGTTATTTATTAGTCCATTTGTGAGGATTTTTGTTTTCTTTGTTTTTGATTTCTACATTAAGGTGCAATCCATACTGAAGATTGTAGTCTTTGATATTCATCAGTTAAGTATTTCAAGTACTCTCTACTTCTAGGAAATAAGGTTATATCACAGGTTGTTAATGAGTCTTCCTCCAATCCTAATGCCACATTCTTCCAGCTTCTCAGATTATTTTCTCATCATACAGCTTGGATAAGTATGGTGAAAGGATACAATCTTGGCACACACTTTTCCTGATTTTAAACAAGTGCCCCTTTTTATGTTTCAACGCCTCTCTATGTTCCAATGCCTCTTGATCTACGTACAAGTTTCTCATGATTACAATGAAGTGTTCTGAAATACCCTTTATTCACAATATTATCCATAGTTTTTCATGATCCACACAGACAAAAGCCTTTGCATAGTCAAATAAACATCTTTCTGGGATTCTCTGCTTTCAGTGAAAGTCCATCTGGCATGAAGAATGATATCCCTAGTTCCATTTTCTCTTACTTTTTTGCTAATAAAAGTTATATATCAGAGATTATTGATTTTTATCACATTTTGCCATTTTCAGAGCTCACGTTCCTGTCCTTTTCCCCAATACTCATCTAATGTAAGGCAAAAGGAACAAACTGAGCTATGTTCTAAAAGCATCCATATGTAATAGTTCCAAAAACAAAAATCTCTAACTCTTAAAGTACAATCCAGGAATGACGTGGCACTTCCCTGACCAGGCAACCCAGGTAGGGAAGTCTCTGGGGGAAAAGGGTAGAATCGCACATACGCAACCTCTGTCTAGCAGACAGACAACCTTTGAACAAACATAAGATCTTATATTTCAACAGTCTGAACTCGTTTTTTTAAAAGATCAAATTGCTGACGAAGTACAGACATTTTAAGCTTTTGCCTGCCTGCACGCAACTCCCGCTTCCACGCCGGCACCAGCAATTGCCTCTGCCCCCTTCAGACACTAGAATGCAGGGCTGGAGCAACACCTCACTTAGAAGGCTGCATTTCCAGAGAAAAGGATAACAAAGCTGAACAAATAGAGAGGGATATTGGTGCAGATATCAGGAAAATTGGGGTACCCATGGTGCAGAGAGATTGAGAGAGGCATTCTTTACGTCATCAAATATGGACACTGCTTCCCTCCAGCCATTACCCCAGCCCTCTACAGCCCCAGCCTAGACCAGCCCTCTGCCAAGACATCGAGGCTCAGGAACGCCCAAGGCACAAGCCCGCCCACTGAGGCCAAGGCTCTCCCAAGGCCCAGATACTCCCACCGAGGCCAAGGCCTGCCCTGAGGCCCAACCTACCCACAGACTGGTCACAAAGGCCCAGGCCCAACCAAGGCCTAAATCACATACCTGCTGCAGCTGAGGTCCAGGGCCTCCAAGGGCCAACCCGCCACGCAGCCAGGTTGCTGAGGCCCAGTGCCCCTGAGACCCAACCCACCCAATCCTGGTTGCTGACATCAAGGCCCCCAGAGGTCCAACCCTCCTGCCCAAGGTCCAACCCTCCTGCAGCCCGGTCGCTGACGTCCAGGCCCCCAGAGGCCCAACCTGCCCGCCCCAAACCGCCCGCCTGAAGCCCAAACCTCCTGCAGCCCGGTCGCTGATGTCCAGGCCTCCAGAGGCCCAGCCCGCCAGCCCGAGGCCCAAACCGCCCGCCCGAGGCCCAACCCTCCTGCAGATCGGTCGCTGACGTCCAGGCCCCCACAGGCCCAACCTGCCCGCCTGAGGCCAAACCCTCCTACAGCCCAGTCGGTGACTCCCAGGGTCCCAGAGGCACAAACTGCCCACCCTAGGCTCAACCTGCCCGTCCAAGGCCCAAACGGCCCGCCGTGGAGGCCCAGGCCCAGGCCCAACTGAGGCTCAAAAAAGTTACTCTGAGTTAAGCAATAGGAAGCGTGAAAAGGGAAGACCACATCCTGATCACATCTTCCTGGAGGTAATCAGAAAACAT